GGTCGTTGGATCGCCAACTTGAAGAGGGAGGATTTGCCATCGAACTTCTGGCCAGAGAAAAAACACGTAATATGTAGCCAACATTTGGAAGAAGAATGTTTCCAAGATGACTTGGATAATAGCGCATTGTGACAAACACCAGATACAGCACTGGGACTTGATCAACAGCCGATACCGCACCGTGACGTCACAAACCAGTAGGTGGAAGTAGTGTTCTTTGACAAACATGGATGCCTCCAGTAAAGCTCATTCAAATAAAATTACTCTTAATTAAAAATACTTATCAATTATTGAATAGTGTGTAATAATTTCAATAAGATCATTGGGGAAAAAAACTGAAACGTTTCTTTTATCCAAAATAGTGCAAATCTGAACCACTAAACTTTGAACATGTCTTTGCATGAGTACGCCTTCTATCTGTTAGAAGCTCTATGAAACGCTTGTGCTCAGAGTTCTGAGGGAACCTTTTGGGTCTCCTGACCAAAGCACAGCCTCGTCTTCAGACGGTAAATCGGATGACTCCTATCACCTCTGTTGCATGTCCAGTGATGGTGTCTGAATCTCTGAACTGTCACCTTTTTTAGCCAAACCTTCCTGCTCAGCTTCCTCTGTGCTTGCAGCCATGTTGGGGCAGGTGTCATGTAACCAACGGTTGGATGCTTGGAAGTCTCTACTGTAGGCCAAATTTATATCTGTTCTACCATCTATCCCACAGACCACCCAGCCCTACAACAGCTTATCTCCAAAAGAAACTCCAAAATAAAAGTTTAAAAACAATCCACTGGACTTTGTTTCCAAATTTGAAGATGTTTCGCTTCCCATTCAGGAAGCTTTTTAAATTCAAAATGTCAGAAATAGTGTTAAGTTTGAGGCTTTATACAGTAGCCCTACAAAGCCTTGTTTTTATTTAGAAAACATGCAAAGTGAAACAGACAGAACAAGTCCACCCCTTGTCAATAAATGGGCCATACAGACAAGCTTAAAATTATAATGTTCTCGCCTTAAATGATCTTAAAACGGCAAGAACAATGGCAATACAAATGAGAACTTTCAACTTAATACTCTGAGCTCTGTGAGCGCTAACCTGCAAGCTGCCGCAGTGCATGCTGGGACAGCTGTCAATTTGGAGAACGGAAAAGTCTGCTCTGGTGCATGCTGGGTAAAGAAGGATGGGCCAGAACAACATCCGGGGATTTTGTCGGTTCTCAGTCTTCTTGTTCTTGTGAAATGGAACAGTACGAGGGCTGAGGATGATGACATTTCATGAGTTCACAAGCACATGAGAATGCATAAGTTCACATATTGAGAAAATATCACACAGTTCTGTTCAGCAGTTATGTGCCAGTGCAATCTGTCTGTCAGCTGTTCAGTTAAAATCTGTTTTTTATTTCTGCTTCTCCTTTATTTAACTCCCTCTTGTGCCTCCTTCATTCTCTTCCTTTGCATGTTTTAAATCGTCCAAATAAGCAACATTTGGGCCTCTTCCCCCATGAGCAAAGCGCTCAATCTGCGATCTGTGCTTTAGTTGTTATGTCTAACTCACTCAGGGGTGTCTTAGAGAGAGCCAGAGAGGCTGAGTGATTTCCTTAATTGAGCTACTGTACACGTCTTTCAATCACAAGTGGGCCTTCAGTAATCTAGTCCTGCATACGAGTCCTATAAAATCCCTCTCAGAGTCTCAGCATCAGTCATCATCCTGATTACCGTTCAGGAGCACTTACCTTTGTGTCTGCAGGAACCCTTGGGCTGTAATTGGAGTTCTTTATTGGTGGAATAAAACATTGATGTGAAGTGAGCAAGACATTTTTGAATGCCCTGCTATGCCTTAAAGAGAGTTTCAAAGGTTTTCTACTTTAATGCAAAAAAACCATTAAAATCTACTACTAAGAATGGCTGCAACATTTACATTTTACACTGGAAGACAAATACCGTTATTGTCCCTCAGGAGAGGAATTCATGTGTCCCTGCAGCCAAAAGAAACACAAAAGAGCTTCTGCACATGTGGATAGAAATAAATAGAAGAAGAAGAACAATGTGCAGAAAAGGCTCATTTGCATCACAAGAAAGAAATGTGCAACTTGTAGTTTTTCAGCAAAGCCTCGTCAAAAATAAAGAAGTTTGCAGGTAAATATGGTGATCTGAAAAATTCTATTCAGTCTATTTCTATTTATTAAAAACACCATGAGGACTATATTGGAAGATGACAGAAGAAACTTTATTTTCCTAGTCTTCCTTTTCCATGCTTTCATCAGGGGCAAACACAAAGGATCTGTTTGAAAGCAGCGGTTTAACAAAATGCCGTTATAAAATTACTATAAACTTACTTACTTTAAGTAAGTTTACCATTACTTTAAAAAAATTGAAATGTCATGAGAGCTGTACAAAACTAAATTTCTTTTTGTGTACACTGTGTAAACATCTTGCTATCAATGTGCTAACATGAGGCCACCTTGCTATCACTGTGCTAACATGAGCACACCTTGCTATTACCACTTTAACATGAGCCCACCTTGCCATCACCATGCTAACATGAGCCCACCTTGCTATCACTATGATAACATGAGATTGCCTTACTATCACTATGCTAACATGGGCCCACCTTGCCATCACCATGCTAACATGAGCCCCCCCTTGCAATTACCGTGCTAGGCAAGGCAAGGCAAGGCAAATTAATTTGTATAGCACAATTCAGTACAAAGACAATGCAAAGTGCTTTACATGATTAAAATACAGGAAGATAAAACAGAATCAAAGCAAATAAGTAACTAACATGAGCCTGCCTTGCTATCACCATACGAATTTGAGCCCGCCTTGCTATCACCGTGCTAATATGAGTCCGCCTTGCTATGACCGTACGAACAGGAGCCCGCCTTCCTATCACTATGCTAACATGAGCCCGCCCTGCTCTCACCATAGTAACATGAGCCCACTTTGCCATCACCGTGCTAACATTAGCCCGCCTTGCTATCACCGTACGAACATGAGCTCGCCTTGCTATCACCGTACTAACATGACACTACCTTGATATTATCGTACTAACATGACGCTACTTTGCTATCATCGTGCTAACATGAGCCCACCTTGCTATCACCGTGCTAACATGAGCTTGCCTTGCTATCACTATACTAACATGACCCTACCTTGCTATCACCGTGCTACCATGAGCCCGACTTGCTATCACCGTGCTAATATGAGTCCGCCTTCCTATCACTATGCTAACATGAGCCCGCCTTGCTATCACCATGGTAACATGAGCCTACTTTGCTATCACCGTGCTAACATTAGCCTGCCTTGCTAACACCGTACGAACATGAGCTCGCCTTGCTATCACCATACTAACATGACCCTACCTTGATATCACCGTACTAACATGACCCTACCTTGCTATCATTGTTCTAACATGAGCTCGCCTTGCTATCACCGTGCTAACATGAGCTCGCCTTGCTATCACAGTACTAACATGACCCTACCTTGCTATCACCATGCTAACATGAGCCCGACTTGCTATCACCATGCTAACATGAGCTCGCCTTGCTATCAACGTACTAACATGACCCTACCTTGCTATCACCGTGCTAACATGAGCCCGCCTTGCTATCACTGTGCTAACATTACCCTACCTTGCTATCACCGTGCTAACATGAGCCCGCCTTCCTATCACTATGGTAACATGAACCCACCCTGCTATCACAGTGCTAACATGAGCCCGCCTTGCTATCACCGTTCGAACATGAGCCTGCCCTGCTATCACCATGCTAACATGGTGCTATCACAGTGCTAACATGAGCCCGCCTTGCTATCACCGTTCGAACATGAGCCCGCCTTGCTATTACCAATTTAACATGAGCCCACCTTATAATCACCAGGCTAACATTAGCTCCCCTTGCTATCACCACCTCTGCAGCTTTTCCACCAATGATGAGCTCACCTGCACACAGTTTCTAAGTGTTGCTGCTTGTGTAATCTAAACCATGGCTAACTACTGATGTTGGTGACGCTACATCTACATGAACACAATGAACACATTAGATTACCATGTGTAGCCATGCCAGAGCAACAAAGTTAACCCATCCTCTTGGGGAGCAGTGGGCTTCAATTGTGAGGCACCTGCGAAGCAGTTAGGGGTTAAGGGTCTTTGCTCTGGGACCAAGAGCAGCAGTCTGTGGGAGTGGGGCCCGAACTCAGAACCTCTGGATTCCAAGCGCCATTCTCTAGCAGCTAGGCCACCACTCTCCACTCTCATTTACCAGGTGATCACTCCTTTAAACAACTTCTTGCAACTAGAACCTTTTTGTTGAATCAGTAAAAGCATCTCCCTAGAATAGTGCTGTTGTCAGCACCGTCTGGTCCATTTGGTAAAAAACGTTATTCAGAAAAAAAATGTTTTTCTGACTTTGTTATCGACGTCACAACAAGTCTAACTGAAAAATAAGTTAATTTTCCTGAGGCTGCATGTACATACTATTAGAGCAGGAATTAGTTCACAAGATATCTGAAGTTTAGATGAATAAAAAGTGTCAAATGTAAGCAATTCATGTCCTCCAGCCTTGCAAAGGTTAGTCTAGTAAGTGACTTACTGTATGAAAACTACTACAGGTTTCCTCTGTTTTTCCTTGGTTTGTTCATCTTTTGGTATTTAATTTGTTTGCACAAAACTGAAGATGCTGCTGTCTTCACAGTCCCTGTTTTAATTGAAAGAAACTTTAAATTCTGAGTCTGTTGAAGTTACAGCTGCAGATCAGAGAACAACTATGGAGTGAATAACAAAGCTAGAAAACAAAGTGAAATTCAATTAAACTTTTGGATAGCTAAATGCATCGGTGAATAACCTCCAGACTGTTTCATCTTCCTCTTCTTCCATCATCATGTGTTTTTTTTTTCTTTCATTTTTATCATTTTTTTCCCTCTCAGGATGCTGTAGCTCGTCTGAAATCCAATCATTCATTTCCCATTAAAACGCAGTTTTAGATGTTGAGGTGTCCTTCTCTGTTTGTCTGCAGCACAAAGACCCCAAAGCAGGCGGTTTTTGCTGGAAGCATGCAGCTCCTGGCCGGCATCAAGCTGTGCACGGGCAGAGTTCTCACCAACCACCCACATTATGAAGATAAAGACCTGCGGGAGCGAACCAGACAGGTACTGCACTGATGCCTACCTGCAGGCTAACGTTACACAAAAACCACAAGACTTGACTAAAGCAATCAGATCAGAGCGCTCCACTGGGACCAGTTCAGTTATGGGAAATTTACCAAAAACATACTTCTTATTTTAAGTGTAAATTGTCTTGTTCTATTGGCAAAATGTTTTTTTTTAACCTCCTCAATCCAAGAACAAATGCAGTTATTTTAAGAAAAAGTGACTTATCTAGATTTTGTTTTTTTCCACTGCACTCTCCTTTTTTAAATATATTGGAAAAAATAGGGCATATGAGAAAGTTTTTTCCCTGTATTTTAATCCAGAGGAGGAAGGCGTTACCAACCCCTCTGCCCAAAACACCATAACCAGGAAAGACTGATTCTGGCCTTAGATGCAAATATTTTCATGTGAAGGATTGCCTCATTCTGCTGCAGATCTGAGGATGACATTTTTCTGGATTTTGGAACTGTTTTTGCATCTTAAGGTCTACTATTAAAGGAAAAGTCCAGTCAAAGTCAATTCATTTCCATTGTGATCACTGTGTCTAGGAGCGGCCATTTTTTTTCTCAGAATAAAAGTGAATGTGAGGCCTTGAAAAGTGAAAACCCTTTAAAATAGTGCTTTATATCTCTGCAAGCAATGGCTTTGTCTTCTGAGAAGCTAAATGCAGCAAAGCTAAAGAGATGAAAGCCTGTTCCACTGCTTGTTTAATGCAGTAGATCGTGTTTTTATTCATTTCTGAAGTAGTGACTGAATTTCTGTTGAGTCTGGTCCGCAACGAATAATCAGTGGATCATTATTTATACCTAAAACTAATATGTTTGCAGGGATTTAATAAATTTAGTGTTAATCAGCAAAAAAATTAATAATTTTTGTCGCGATCACTGAGTCTGGGAGCGGCCATTTTCACCCAAATATAGTAACACCTCACTCCTGCCATCTTCCAGCAGTGACGTCACGGTGCGGTAAGCCTGGCGCCATTCTTCCCGCTTTACAAGCAAAATCAATGGGAACTACTAGACACATCTGCAATCAACAACAATTATTGAAGATTTCCAGAGGACTTCACCATTGAAATTCACCTGAGCTATAGTGAAACTGACAATGCCCTCGTGCATGGCAATTAGATGTTGGAATACATCAGATAAATTGAAAAAAAAAAAAGTTATTTCACCTTTCTGATTCCTTATCCTCCACGGATGGGTTCGTGAAGAGGGAGGAACTTCTGGCCAGAGAAAAAAACTCCTAACATGTAGCCGACATTTGTTTTCAGGATGACTTGGATAATAGCGCGTTGTGACAAACACCAGATACAGCATTGGGACTTGATCAACAGCCGATACCGCACCGTGACGTTGTCGTGATCTGCCCTGATAGCTGGACTTAATCGTTCATTTCACTCACCTGCCTAACTCTGCCCGGTCCCTAATTATCACTGATCTCTTCCACCCGCATCTGTTCCGTTATATTGGGCTCAGTTCCAGCTATCGGGGCCAGATCATTGCTTGTTTGCTTTCTGTTTGTTCCCTGTGTAATGTCTGTGGGTTCTGTTTTAGTGAGTCCAAGGTTCATGTCCCTGTTTCAGTGAGGAGGTTATTCTGTCTATAGGCGAGTTTAATCCGTAACCATTAATGATAGACGTTCTCACCACTGGTTACAGAATAAATTCAAACGTCACAAACCCGTAGGTGGCAGTAGTGTTCTTTGACAAACATGGATGCCTCCAGTAAAGTACATTTAAATGAAAATTAATCCTAATTAAAAACACTGATCATTTATGGAACCGTATGCAATACTTTTATATATAAAGTACTTTCAGAAGTTTGAATTCTGAATATGACCGGACCTGCTGGTTTTGCCAGTTCTAGATTTATCTTTAGGCCCATTTTTCAGAAAAGCACACAGGATTTCATAGAGTGCCTTCTTTTTAGTTTTTCTCTTGACTATATATAAGCAGGGAATTGCAATTTGTTTCTCTAAAGTTTCCCCATCATTTCAGGAGGAAGTTTTGTTCATAAAAGCAGTTGAAGCTATTCCTCCAAAGGCTCACCTGTTTCATCCTCTGTTGGCCTGATTGCTCAGCCTGCAGACGTAGAAGCTTGCAGTGAATTTATAAGAGAAATGGATCATATGTTTCCATTTAGCAGGAATCGATATGAGGCGGGAAAGGCGCAGTCTGAAAGAGCTGCGTTCCAGTAAAACACGGGAGAGGGAGTTCTTCTTGGCGTGCTGATCAGGAATGCTGTCAGGGTGTCCCTGTGAGATTAGCTGCTGCAGGTTTCACACATTAAAGAAACAAATGATTTTGTTCCACTAAATGAAGCGCTGAAAGTGGTCCAGTTTCCGGGTGAATGCTTTTCTTGCCGTATCCTGTCTAGTGTCGTCTGTTTGACCTCAGCATGCAGGAAAGTTCAGGACTCATGAAAATGTAATGGAACTGATTAGCCCTTGTGCTAGCGGTCTGCTGCTCCTTCATTCAGCGCATGTCTTCCTGTCTGAGAGCAGGAAGTAGTGTGCAGGTCAGCCTGTGTTCTGCATCCCAGCGGGATGAGAGCCATGCTGAGCCGTCGGCGAGGCCAAAGACCGGCATGGGGCCTCATTAGTGATCCTTAGTGATGATGGAGGCTCACTAAGCACTGGGTGTGTGTGTACACTGCTGTTTTGGTATCAGAATGAGGACCATTTTCCCAATTTCACCAACAAAGAAAGGAGCTTTTGTACCAAAGTGAGGACATTTTCTTGGTCCTCATTTTGTTTTTTCAATTAAATTCAGTTTATTTCTATAGCGCCAATTCAGTTTTCTAAGGAAAACCAGTTGATTCCATCGACTCA